ATCTCAATAGGCGTTTCTCTGAGTGTACCCTAGCACAGCCGAACTCTTTCGGCTTTTGCATCTGATGCAGTTTTGCCACCTCGGGCTGCATCAGGCTACCAGAGCTACCCATGCACAAATTGGGGCGTTGAGCTGTCTGTCCGCAGCTCGTGCGACTGTGAGCTATGCAGATGTCGGATTAGCGGCGTTGATACCCGCTCCAAATAGAAGCTAACCAACTCACTCCCATCCACTGGCCCTAACTGAATTTAAGGGCCTTAAAGCCGAAAGTTCCTATCGATTTTATGTCCTGCCCAAAAATAAACAGAGAATGTTCTGCTGCCATTTGGGAAGAGGAAAAGTGAAAAGTGAAAAGCGAAAAAGCGAGAATGTAGCAAAATTGAGCTCGAAATGCCAATTGCATTTTCAACTTTGTCCTGCAAAAGTAAAACCCACACACATATCCCACAAATACACAGACGTATGCACATAGACATCTACAGATACAATTTTTATTGTTGTGGGCTGCGTGCTGTGGGCATGGAACACGGCTCCGAAATGTAGACGTCAGAGCTTCTAATTGATGATATATGGCGCTTGCTTTTGCAGCTTTCCATTACCCGCTTAGTGAAAGCACGCTGTCCTGCACAAGGATACAAGGATATCAGCATTGTACCAGTGTGTAGGCAGCATGCTTCCCATCTCTGAAGCTGAACCTGAGGCTGTGGTTGTGGCTGTGGCTGTGGCTGTGGCTGTGGCTGTGGCTGGGACTGGGGTGGGGTGCCACGATGTCAGCTTGTAATTTGTGACATGCACTTGCGCCGAGTAAAGTTCACCAAAAGTTAATAAGTACAAATCAGATTGCTTTGCGATTCGCAACAGCATAAAATGTAAACTCGTGTCTATCGTTCGACATGTTTCAAGAGCTTGACATTCAGCTATACATCAAAATTTAAGTACAGCGACCTATAGAGGGGAAAGCCACGTTAGTTGTTCTACTGTAGTAAATATGTATATTATTCTATGAGATGTACAGACTTGGGTGTATGAATATCCCAAAACGATTTAGGGTCCCAATAAATATTCTCATTCTTATTACATTCTTCGAAATATAAATATAAAAAGCTTATTAAAGTTTTACCTTTTTAAATTTGCAGCTAAGCTAGATATATATTTGACTTATATGACTAAAAGATTCTATAAATTCCTATGCGTTCATTTCTTCTATCGAAAGTCTACTTGACTCAAGGGTTTTTAATTTCATATTTGAGTGTTGCTTAATCATATTTTTAAGCTTAAGTTTTTTAAGTTTCTGTACATGGCCAGCTTCAACATCAGTGTTTAGTTTTCCAGTGTTGCTCGCCTAATGTTTTACTGCGGAATTCGTATTCTCCAGGAGGACATTTGTCCAGCTTGTAACTAGCTATGTCTGTCAGCTATAAATTGCTTTTTTTTATTCCAGATTATCGACAATGAAAGTAATCGTTGACATTGATTTTTCTTCCCACAAATCTTCGTTGTCATTTATTGTTTTAAGGAACGTTAATGTGACTGATATATTCTCAATTGATATTATATGCGCTTTACTGATGGTCAATTTTTATCCAATAGGTTTGAATGTTTTTTCTTCGATATATATTTTAAAATATTATGCCCTTTTTAATTTACTTTTATTCAAATTAATGTCCAGTATATATGAAGACATATGTATATTTTGTTATTTTAAGAAATTTAATAGATAAATAATTCTAGGACTTCAACTACTATAATATATTGATGGGCAGTGTATGTACAACATACAACTGTAAGAATTTGGTTTTCAGTTTCAAGATAGTACGCGCCAAGTCCACGTGCTCTGAGACAATATCGTTTCGTGCAAGGGAGAGAGCAAGAGCACATGACGGCACTGGAAAGGGACAGCCAGCCGGCATTGGTCGACTCGTTGACAATGGTGACAGGAACACACCCAAGCCGCAGTCAGAGCTCAGGGCTCAGAGCTCGGCAAACATGACAAGCCGGCGCAACGAATCGCCATTTTGCGCTGTCCTTTGGTTTGGCTGTCTCGGCCGATCATCCTGTCACGCGTTCATCGGGGTTCCCATTTGTGTTTGTATTTGTGTTTGCTAAAACGTTAAAATAAATTAAATAAAATAAAATAAAAGGCGAAAATCTCTCGAAAATGACACTAAAATGTGCAGTTCCCTCTCTTTATCTACCTCTCTCTCTCTCTCTCGTTGCTTTTATTTAACACTAAATGCCTCTCTCTCTATTTCTCTCGCTTTTCTCTTTTCAGCTCATTGATTGGATTTAACTTTACACATCGTGTGGATCGTGTGGCTGGCGAGCTGGCACTGAGCACAATTTTATTGTTGGCCTGCGATTAGTTCCGATTGGCACCGGCAGGATCGAAGATCCTGGCGATCCTCGCATATGCTCGCTCATCAATAGCTGCAATGATTCCTGCCTGCTGTCCATTTACGCCAGATTAGCGACGGCTTGCAGTTGCTATTACTGTTGGAGTCACAGTCTCAGTCTCAGTCTGAGTCTGAGTCGCAGTCGCAGCTGCCGATCGTGCAATTTGTTGCGCCTCGCCATGAATGCCTCCTACTTGCCACATTGCCACATTGCCACATCGTTGCCGTGCATTGTTTTTGTCGTGCGACTCATTATTTATGGGCTTGTTTATGGTTTCCAGTGCTAACCAGACACAATTTGGGGGTTACAAATCGATAAGCATCAGTTGGATCGCCTTCAATTTAGCGACAGCTCAAAGGGCTGCACATACAGTTAATTAGAAGGAGCCAGAATGGCAGTTAGACTAGGCTAACAACTGTCTGTATGATGCTCACAACTCATGAGAGAAGTCGATGGATTCCATAAACCATAAATCATCATAATTTCTGTAATCAAGTCATATATATTAACCATGGATTTATGATCAATTGAACAAGACATTCAATATGAACAGTTATTTAACTAGATTGAGCATTGCATTTAGTACCTGCAGCATCAGTGGGTTGTCCTTTCGGGGCACTCACTCTCCCCAGCTGGATAGCTGTCCAATTTGCGCAATGATATATTTATGCGCCTCAATAGACATCAACACGTCGCGTCTGAGTTATATGTAGATTTGTGTGAGACTCCTTTGCTTTATTACCCACGAGGCACTCTACGACGGCGACGGCAACGGCGACTAAGACGACGACCTGCACTTCCTACAATATAATCATTTTATCTTGAATGTGCCCTGCAACGCCCACAGCGGACACGCCCATAGCTGAGCCGCAAAAGGCGAGCGACGGCCAAGAGAGAGCGAGCGGAGAGGCAGCAGCTGAGGCAGCAATCGAAAAAAAATTGTACGTGCTGTCATCGATCGCGATCGTGGGATACGCGGACAGAGGAGACTCGAGCAACAGTCAGGTGATAAAGCTGCAACAGTTGGCCCTAATGTCCAGCCAGGCGGACTCTCCACTCGCTGGCTACATGGCTAATGTGATTACAGACTTTAAGTTTATAAACATGGGCCAGGCCGCTGCCTACCGAGAGTTGCTTCAGCAGCCGCCGGTCTACAGACACACACACACACACACACACACACACACAGACACAATTACAGACACATATGCAGACGCAAGCTCTGCCTCAGCCTCAGCCTCAGCTTCAGATCCGAACGGGCCGACCGGCCCTCCTGTTGCGTTGCAATTACGGCGCGTGCAGGCGACCCTCGATCCCAGTACCCCGATGCCTCGATCTGCCCATGCCCCCACCTCTGCCTCTACCTCTGCCTCTGCCTGATGAATTCTTATTAGCTGCCTTTGGTGTCGGCTGCGCAGTTATGAGCGGCAAACTTCAACCGACGCGTCGGTCGCTTCCTCATAACTTTTGCTCTATTTTTCTTGCTGCTTCGTTTTGGCGGCCCGACTCGCGGGATCTCCCTGGAGCTGTCGATGTGTCTGGGCCGCAGCAGTGCGGATTTGTCGGATAACGCTGCTGCCTCGCTGTCTGCCGCCACGGCAACCAGCAGTCGCCGCTGTCAGCGCGAGGCACGCGCAAATCCCTAATGGAATTCAGCTCCACATCGAGGAGTGGGCCAGAGAGGAGAGCTAAGGGGCAATGCCCTACACTTGGACATAGCTCATATTGTGCGCTGAGTGAATCATTGGGATTAAAAACCAGAGCCGAATAAGTTAAGGCTAAATTAATTTAATTATTAAAAATATAACTATAATTTTCGATAGATTCGATTTCAAAAACTAATTACCAATTATTTTTAAATTGTAAGAAAAATAAATAATTAATGCTTGATAAAATGATGATATATAATAAATTATATATAAATTGAAAAATATTCAATGCTTAATGCTTCTCCTAATCGTTTACTCAACCATTTTATGCAGCCTCCCAAAAGTATGCAAGAATTTTTACGCACATGTAATGTTATGTAATGTTATTTTTCACGCGCAGCCTGAAAGTATGCAATAAAATATACAATATACAACATACCGTAAGCCCTTTGTGAGTTTAATCTCTAATAATTCTGTCCAATTTCAATATTTACAATTAAACATTATTACACTTTTATTGACCATCAGCACAGGAGAATGTTTAGCTGGACTTCTTCAACCAGTTGTAGATCCTTAAATAACCAAACGGAAGACAGCCCTTAGTAACAGCCAAGACAGGAATTAGGTTGTTGGCAGGCGTACAAAATAATTTCCATTACCTACTCTCTAGAAGCAATTTACCAATTTGTCCTTTGGTGCAATACTCAAGATACAATTTAGAGATATAGGAGCCAAATTTCGCCCAGTTTTCCAACCGGCTTCCCCATTAATTGAGTCGTCAAGTGTTTGTGGAAAAGCGAAAGTATGCAGTATATTTCATTCTCGCAGGCGTGTATAATATTACAGGGTATTTAAGTCGATGTGGAGATAGCAGTAGTTCATTTTACACTCTAAACAGAATACTTTTTACAAATCTACAGCGGCGCGTGCGTCCTGGCTCCTCGGCAGTCAGCTTGCCTACTCATTGAGATCGACGCCCTCTCCGTTCACCTGAATGGTAATATGCTCGCTGGCCTCAGCCTCGCCCCGCTCCCGCTGCGGGTGGGCGGGAGGCGGTGGTGCGGCACGCCTCGGCAGGGATTGCAAGGAGATCTCATCGTCCTGCCGTCCCATGAAGCGACGTCGAGTGCGCGCAAAGTCGAAGGTCTCGCGCTGCCTCTGGCGCGACTGGGCATACGAGGCGTCCGTCAGCTGCTGCAGCGCCTGAGTGGAGCTAGTGCGACGCATTTGCCCCACCTCAGGCTGTGGCAGCGTGCCGGCTGCTGCTGCCTGCCCCACCGACTGCCGCTGGCGGCCAAAGCAGCCGGTGGCATAGCGTCCGTCGGCGGAGCGCGAGCGACGCTGTCGAGCCGAGTCCCGGGCACTCAGCAGTTGCTGGAGGAGCCAATGGTTAGATGGCATCTACATCAACATCGATTAGCTGGCATTTACCTGCTGCATTTCATCCTTGCGCAGGCGTCGCAGCCCCTGCTGCTCCTCCAGTTTGTTGGTCATCTGGGCCATCCAGTCACGCGCCTGTCGCAGCGACAGCGAGCTCTGCGAGCGCTCTGGCAGCCTGGTTGGGAAGAGCATATCCCGGGCGCCCACCACGCTGCCGCTGTTCAGGACGAAGACGCGCGGGAAATCTATCACAAAGTCGCGGCTGCGTATCAGATCGGCCAAGGCGCTCGACTGGATCGGAGCCGGTGACGGGGCCACAGCCGTCGCCGTCTCCTGGGTGACGCCGATCGCAGCAATCGGGGGATTGGCGTTGCGGGCGTTCCGCTCCGGCTCGTACTCCAAGATGCTCTCCTCACTGCCCAGGAACTGAAACGAGAAGAGCTTGAATAATAGCACCCAAATACCATTGCCAAGGGTATCGATCGGCAGCTCCTCTGGACTCGGTCCATGGCATCTAGCTACGGATGAGCGGGTGGACAAGCGTTGGGAGCAGAGCGCGCGCGCAGGCAACTACATTGCAAACAAGCGAAAGCGTTTTTCAAATTCAATCGATTTATTTGGTCTTAAATATGCTTGAGTCCACGTTTGGTTTAGGTTTAGGTTTTAGCAAAAACTATATATAGGTTCTATATAGTATAATTCGTATCTGTGTGCGTGTATTGTATGTATGTGTATGTAGTTCACATCTGGTAATAGCAATCGACAACTAATTGAGGCCCTATGTCTTCCTAGTCGCTCTAACTTGTTTTAAGCTCAGCGGGCAGCTTGCGGGTTGTTAGTGTGGGGATGAAACTGAATGGAGATATCAAGATGAAATTGGATTGTGTGTTCCATCTTTATCTTTCTTTGTTTTGGTTGGCAATGAATCGCAGGTATGTCTTATCTTAAGTGTCCGAAACCCTGGAACTCTTCTCTAAGTACATACATATTCACCTATATATTCACACAGGTGCTCGTACAGTTATTTATGCTAAAGATCCTCATCGAAGGGGATAGATTAAGCAAGCGATGACGCAGCAATGCCAGATTCTTATTAATGTAGCCTGCGCTAGGCCAGGTCCAATTATCGATTATGAGTCCATTGAATGGACTTGCGAAATCAAAGAGAGAAAATTAAAATAAATAATATAACTAGCGGTACATTTATTCAATTTGAACAACTAAAGCTAAAAGCAAATACTTTGGCACCTTCGACATTATCTTTAAGTGTGTGTGTGTGTGTGTTTATGAGTCTTGTATGTATGTGTGTGTGTGTGTCTGTGTATGTGTGTGTGTGTGTGTGTGTGTGCGTAGTATTATTGACTAGCAAAACAGGCGCTGATTTTGCTACAAATGATGTTGCATTAAATATTACAGCTACTACGGCTACACGTTTTATGATTCATAATAATACATATACATAGTTAGAAATAGTTATTTGTTATAGTAGTTATTGTAGTACTCGTAAATATTTCTGTTTGCTTTTCTCTCGCGTATTTTGTTTTTCGGTTTTCGGTTTTCCGGTTTGTTTTTATATCGACAATTGGTACGCTTAAATTTATAACTTAAATATAGAACTTATAGAACTCTGCGTATGTTTCGTTTTTCTTTTCGCATTCCTTTGTTTTTTTTTTTTCTGTATTTAATGTGCGTGGGTCTTCAGTTCTGTGTCTACAGACTTCGCTGATTAGAGCAATTAGATTATCTAGTTAGGGTTGTTGCTTTCTCCAGTTGGAGTCGTTAGCGTAGTTTATCCGCTCTGCTTTCTGTTCAGCGATTAAGTACACTGTGTGCACTGCTTCGCACTGCTTGCAACCGCTTGTTGGGCAAGCAGTCGAAGCACGCATATATACATCATAAGTACGCAGCACGTCGAATGTGGAATTTAAATATATGCAAGTATATGTAGGTTTGTTTATACGTAACTATATGGATACGAGGATAACTTATAGATCAGTTGGGTCAGGCGACTTATACGTCGGTCACCTGGCGACTGGCAGTGCAAATCATTTGCGGCATTGTCGCCGGTGCCGAGTTCCGTCTGCCGCGCTCAACTGAACCGCCCAGTGGCTGTTGCTGCTGTTGCTGTTGCAACTGCTGCTGTTGCTGTTGTGGTTGGTAACTACTACTAGGACTACGCTGGTGATAGCTGATAGCACTAGGATTAAAGCTACTGATGTTGTGTGGTGGCAGGGCCACCACAATGACGGGCAGCCCCTCCTCGCCGGCACCTGGACCAGCGGCTGCAGCAACACCTGAACCACCAGGTGCTGCTGCTGCTGCGGCAGCTGTGGCTGCGGCTGTGGATGGCGCATTGTGCTGTGGACTGGGCGTTTGATAGATTTGGTCACCCACCACATAGCCGTAGAACTTGAGCACATCCAGTTTGCACATGGGACAGGTCCGATGCTCAATCAGCCACGGATCTATGCAGTTCTTGTGGAACTCGTGCCTTAAAAGAGAGAACGAGGGAGAGAAAATGAGAAAGAGAGAAAGAGAGAAAGAGGTACACAACTTAGTCATATTAATTTATCGGAGAGTGACTCATGTTTACACTTACTTGCAGGGCAGTATGCGTATAATGTCAGCGGGCTTGTAGGACTCAATGCAAATGGCACAACAATCGCTGTCCAGGTCCTTCTCATCGGTCATTTTGCCAGTCTTTGTTGGAATTTTCATAATGGCTTTCTTTGTCACTGAGCAAAGATTGCGCTGCAACATATAAAATTCATTGTCATCATATTGCCCACTTCAAAGCCAGGCGTAACTCACCGATTGCTGATCCTTTGCTTGCATGTAACGGAATCTCTGTATATAGTAAAAGATAAGCCATACTAACGAAATAATCATCAGCACAATAAACGATATCGACACAAACAGAACCGAGGTGCTGAAAAGAATGCATTTGAATTAAATTAATTTCCACACAGGCCAAATTTCAATTATGAAATTAATATTAAAGCTGGGAGTGATTGGAGAACTCGGGCTGAACTGCAAAATTGGTCACAGGCAGGCGTTGTGGGGACGTAGCTCAGTGGTAGAGCGCTCGCTTCGCATGTGAGAAGTCCCGGGTTCAAACCCCGGCGTCTCCATAGTAATACATACATGAGCAACTTTTTTAAATACATTATTAAATTTCCTAATTCAGGCTCAACGTGAAGCTCACGTTTGACTTTTTCTTATTTTCAATTTACACATGCCCATAGATAGATAGTTCGCCTGTTAAAGGTCGTGTGAAAGCATTATTATTGCTGTTAATAGAAAGTAAAGCAGTTCATTCTGCGTTCGATGAGAGGTACATTAGTACATTGTTGAGTGCTATAGCATAATTGTTGTAAGTAAGTCATTTTGCACGACGTATTCGAACGGGGACGTAGCTCAGTGGTAGAGCGCTCGCTTCGCATGTGAGAAGTCCCGGGTTCAAACCCCGGCGTCTCCAGTGAATTTTAGTGAAAAATATTTTTTATTCAATTTTTATTTTGCAACTACTAATGAATCCTTCAAGTTGGCTGATCTCAAACTAAGCTTTCTTTGGACGTCCTTTGTCATATATAAAACTAGGCTGTTCATTTAGCAATCAGTGCAAATGAAGCAGTGTATATTGATTACAAAGCAGTGCAAATGAATTGCTTCTGTTCGCTTGGCATAATTGAGGCATTTTCCTCAATCCGTCCTCATGGGGACGTAGCTCAGTGGTAGAGCGCTCGCTTCGCATGTGAGAAGTCCCGGGTTCAAACCCCGGCGTCTCCACAAACACAAATTAAAAGTTCTTTTTTTTCGAAATATTTTTTTTCTAAGTTTAGCTTACCGATTTAAGCTGCTGACAGATCGCACGCCCCGTCGTCCTTCGATTATGGAAATGGTTACATTTATTCCCTTATCAACAGTGTTGGCTAGTTCGAGTCCAATTGCTTGATACGTTATCACTGCGGCAATATTACCTAGAAAAAATGTAATGCGATTTTAGTATGTTGAATATTTGAAATGAAAATAGAGGAGCTCACGATTCTTATTTTTGATCTGCATCTTCTCCAGCTGCATAACCTGCTTATCATTGTAGATTATTACCCCCGCGGCGTTGTATTGATGCACATGTTTCACCTTATCCTCGAAGGTGCAACGACCACGTCGCACCAGCGCTATCCATGACACGCCCTTCTCGGGCAGCGGCGAGCCCAGGGTGCCGCGTATGTAGGGTGTGCACGCGAAATCGTCGCTAATATCATCAGCAGTGCTAATGTGTATCAGACGACCCGTCACATTGAGCACTCGGCCCTCGCCGTAGCGCGCCTTCTCCTCCGAAAACTCAATTTCCCTGATTATGTTCTGGCTGTCCACATAGGACCAATTGAGGAAGGCGAAGTTGTAGAAGTCCATGGTGAGGCGCTCCTCGCCTATGCTGGTGTACGAGTGCGTCGCATTCGCCGGTCGAAAGTATCGCTCCAGATCCTGGTTGGCAATCGTCATGGCCGCCACCATAGTGGATGTCGTCGTGGTCGAGGTCAAGTGCGGCTGGCCCCCCAACAGCAGCAGTAGGCATGCCAGCAGCAGCATTTCCTGGCAGTACATAGCCCGGCCGGAGATCTCTTTGTTCCTCTGGTGATTTTATTTGTTTCCTTTTATTTTGCAGCTTACAGCTCTATCCGGTTCTCAAACGTTCCGTATCTCTAAATAGTGTGCAACATTTGCTCCTGCAGCTGTGATGCTAACCAAAGTCGTTTAACTACTGAAACGATTAAAAAGAAACGCAGTTAAGTTTCAAGAATCGATTCGCTATAAGCAATTTTAGGCATAGTGGAAGTCGCTGGAAAACTGTGGGGCCGCTCGCCTAGCTAGCGATAAGCGGCCATATTTATAGAATCATATTTATTGGCAGCCCATGTTGAATACTAGCCAAATTGATAAGCCCCTTATCACTCGACAAGTTCCTATTAACCTAATGAAAAGACTGAATTATGGAATAAGTGCAGTGAATAAATACTATCTCAAGAGAATAGTGGGTTAATGGGAAGCTTCAAAAAATATATATCACTTGATTTCTTTCAGATGTTTCCAAATAAAATGTAGTGATTTAAATATATGCACATATGAAAATTTGTCATGGATTGTATATAAAGAGAAGAGCTTGGGCTAGAATATTTTTGCATACTCTAACTATTCTCATATTCCATTGACATATCATCTATCAAATGTCTTATATATAGTTAGTGTTAGCATGTGCCTATAGAAATTTACAGCTGGTATATGAGATGTTAATATGCTTACGGCTTCTTATTGTACACCCACTAAGTAGCCGATGAAATCATGGCTGTGAATTCGCAAGACCGTTAACACTTTGTGAATTTATGAACAACAGTTATATACACATATTTATATAGCTTCTGGGTCATACACAAATCATACTTTGCGCCCTATGCAACTAACAAACGAATTGTTCTGCAGTTTTGAGCAAACGGCGAATTCCTTGGTTTCCTGCATTTTTGGCCATTTCGGTGCGCTGAAGGCCAATGCCACTGGCAAAGGCGTTGCCATTAATAATTCGCCCGTTGCCCCACTTGCCTCGCCTCTCCCCCGGCCCCTCCGCTGCCCGCCTTCTCTCCAGCTGCTGCCCGCTGTGTCAGGGAAATGCAATGCATTTAAATATTTTATTTCGTGTTGCCAGGGCTAGCGCCAAGTGGCAAACGGGCGGCACGAACGGCTCGTGGGTGTGCGGCTGACACTGAAAAGTGGTTCGGCAAGCCACTAGCCAGCCACCAAGACCACCGCTCCAACGACCAGCACATAAAGCGCCTGAGCTGCCTGCCAACCAGTTCCAGTTTTCCTTTCTTACATAAAGGAGACACGCGGCATCTGCTTGGACACCTACTTGTTTTACATAAAAGTAGAGCTCCCCAGCTCGCTTTTACCCCCACTATCGGCCCTTTTCGTCGCGACGTCTGGCTATAATAAATGTAATTTATATATGCACTCAGTTTTCAGCAGTCGACTTGGCCAGCCGAACAAGAGAGCCAGCGATTCCGCCAATTGAATACAAAACTTTACTTTGACGCCTATTTATGCTCGCCTTGTGTATCTATGTGTGTGTGTGTGTGTGTGTGTGTGTGAGGGGGGAGCACACTGATTTAGTCGTCTATAGCCACTGGCTGAGTCTATGAACCAAACTGGGCTGCGCTGCCTGCTTGAATCATATTGGTAGAGCAAACTTTTCAGATTTAATAAATTTGTGTAAACAAAGTTCAAGTTGCACGCTCAAAGGGTCGCAGGAGATGAACTTACTCAAGCGACTGTAGTGAGTGTGCCCACAGATGGAATCACTGTGTTTATAAAGAACTCATGAGAGCCAATCAATTTCCTTAACAGGTTAAACATCTCCAGGAGATATATAACCAAATATTGCTGGTATATCTGGTAAAAACTAATAGTTATATGAAATTTCCAATTTCTTTGAGCACTCATATTATCAGCAGCACTTTTAGCTGTCGCGGTAGCGCCCTTTTGCTTCGCTCAGATCTGGCCGAAATGCCTCGACGATTGGCCCAATGCACGTTTTGCATGCATCGTTGCATTTTATTTTATTTGCTGCTGCTGTTGTTTTTGTTGCTGTTGTTGCAGTTGCTCTTGGCATGTGGGCAAGCGGCCAGGACAAGGGCAGCGATCGATGGATTGAGGGGAGAGTGGGAGGGGTACACCGCCTTAATGGGGACAGAGCCACCGACTTGGCCAACAATCGCGGAACGAGCTGTGTGCCAAAAAAGAGCATAAAAAGCAAAAGATAACAACAACAAGAACAACAACAACAGCACTGAGTGAGCACGCGGCCTGTTTAGGATAATGACCCTGAAAGCTGTTTGTTATTGCTAGCAAATATGTGTGCAGTTGCATATGTATTTGTCCCACTGTGCGCGCTGAAAATAAAAGTGAAAAATGGCAAAAATTGAATTTGGTATTCAATTTTTGTATCGTTTATTTATTGCTTTATTTGTTGTGCGTACGCTTGTGTGTGGGAGTTGTGTTTGTGTGTGTGTGTGTGTATGTGCTTGTATTGCATCGTTAAAATATGCAGGGTGTGTCCATAAAGCGAGCTGCTCTTCAGTCGTACCGAAAGAGTTTGCTGAATGTGAGGTAGACAAATGTGAATCGCAATTCGAATTCCGAAATTTGGTTCGGAAATATGTGTTTGTCACAAAAGAAAATTAAATCATAATTTGGGGAATCTTTATTTGTCACTTATCCAACAGCCAATGGGCGCCTCCTCATCTGATTTCCCACGCTAATTTCTGATAGTCTTTAACACCACTCAAATGCGTTTCTTAACAACTTGCTGTTGTTGTTCTAGTAGTAGTTGATGTTGTTGTTGTTGTTGCTATGATTGCACTTGTTGTTATTGTTTATTTATATAAAATAGTTTTCACTGTTACCAAATTACGTTTCGTGCATTATTTGGCCAACTGCCAGACGAACGAAGCGTTTTCCCCTCGCGCATATAAATAAAGCGCTTTAATTGATTCCGTTTCTCTCTCGCATTTCATTCCTTTTCTTTTTATATAGAATTGTGCATTATTTTTAGTTTACTTATATTGCGTATTTATGTTTTTTGATAAGTGCATTGTTTATTGTCTTATTTTTAGGTAACAAAGATAAGCTTTTTATTCCACAGGTGTTGCTATTTCATGAAATAACTCGTTTTGCTTCCCCTCTTCATTGCTTTTAAGTAAATCAAATAAAATTCAGCTCTTTTCAATAAATACAATTTATAGAATTGCACATAAATCAACAAAACGTCATAAACACAAAAATATTAAAATACGAATTTAAAATCAAATAAATACGGCCTTTCATATTGTAGATCCCGTTAAATAAACAAAGTAATATTTTAAATTTGAGTGCAAACCCATACACTCATAAGTGCACTCACATGGATACTCGTCTCTGTTTGTGTATCGAAACGTGATTCGCAAAAAAGAAGAGAGCAAAAAACAAAAAACGTGATGCGCATGGATAATGGGCTTAGCAATACGAGTCTTTGATAGTTGTTTGCATTCGCTTTTATCTAGCGCTCACTGTTTGTCGCTTCATCCACTCGAGAATAAATGAAATGAATAAATATTTAATTTATGTGTTCCTCGTATGCCTAATGAGCAGACGCTTTATTAAATAACAATATTCACGTGTTTATCACAGCCAAAGGATGCTCAAGCCAAGAGCCAAGAGTCGAACTGAGCTCAGCTGAGCTGAACTGAGGAGGAAGTCAAATAAAGTTGGTGGCAATTAAAATGTGATTAGCAATAATTCGGCATTTAAATTCAAGACATGTGCTGCACACTTAATTCACGCTGGCATGAGCAGCACATTCTATAAGGAAGAACCTATGTAGAGGAAGTCTTGAGCCGAGCTTGTTGCCTCTCAATGAAGAAGAAGAAGCATATTGAATAGATGAGCTGATGGAAAATGACTAAGAGATACATTATCATCATTAATAAGATACACTGAAGAGAGTTATAGCCAAAGAGAGAATAATTTAATTTGATATTCTCTAAAATTCAATGTATTACTTTCATATGGAACAGGTAAACTGCAAGGAACTGATTAGAAAATTCTTAATTAAAGAGACACAAAGATATAGCCAAAGATATATATAATTCTGTAAAAACAAAGACTGGTTATACAATGTAATATTCTTTCGCATTTAACAGATAAACGGCTCGAAACTGACTTGACAATAGCATCATTAAGGAGATACACTAAAGAAAGTTAAAGCCAATGAGAGATTGGTGAACTTTAGAATTTAATTTGCTATGCTCTCTAATATTCTTTTACATTAAGATCAAAGAATATTTTTTTTAATTTTTAGAGGCGATGTTTAGGCATCTAGAGCTAAAGTTGTATCTAAATTTGTTCTATAATTAGTATCATATTAATATTTATAATTTATTTCATAAATTTTTAAAGACGGTGTCTAGAATTTAATTTGATCTAATATTGTGATATTCAATATTATCATATAAATATAAAATTTGTTCATTTACTTCAATATTATTTTTATTTGATTGGGCTTTATTTCCCTTGAACATTTTTTAGTAATAGATATTTATAGTTTTATTTTATTAAATATGATTACAAATGCAAATCTAAAGTAGCTTTATGTTAGTATAACATTTATTTAATTATTGAATTGAATTGTAATTTTATTCATTTTTTTTCTATTCGATGTTTTCATATCAATCATATTAAATATGATTAAAAATTTATATTTAATTTTATTCGAAGATTTAGTTTCATAAACTTCAATCGAATTGTGATAAAATTAAATTTCGTTCTATAAATTAGTTTCATATGGATATAAAATGTATTTAATAACTTTTAGGATAAATTTCATTTTTTTCTACTGTTACTCAACAATTTACGCACACTTTAAGGGGTACAAATTAAATTGCTATTAACGATTTTGCAGAGAGCAAGAGCAGAGCTTGGCTTTGTTGAGAGCAATTCCACTTTTCGCTGCCATTATTAAACCACAGAAAGGGTGGGAGGGAGGTGGAGGTGGGGCGTATAAGTTATGGAAAAGTTTTCATTTAACATTTGAGTGGTTTTGGTGCGTTTTATTGCGCTCCGTTGGCTTTAATGCATTTCGTTGAACTCGACGCTAAACGCAGCCAACAACATCAACAACAATCAAATTCAGCGAGAGAAATGACAGAAAAAATTACAGGTGTAACAGGTAGCACG